GCATTCCGCCTCCTATGGCCTGCGGGCTGCTAACAGGACGCCTTCCGATCTGAACTCCGTCACTTTCGACTTCCCATCGCCAACTGGCGTGCCCACCCAGTGCGCTGACTGTCCAGACTCCGACTTGCCGCTGTACCTGGAATAACAAGAGGGACTCCTTGGTAGTTTGTTCCCTTCCACACCCGATGCACGAACATCCTGCATCCCGTACATCTGCCCTAGCCTGCGCACCGCGTTGGGCTGCCCTGCTGGCCTCGGGCGCCCCACTCCCGTGTCCTAAGCCAGACCTGCCTTTTTGCTTGGCCCTCCAAGCACCCCCCGAGTGACCCCCGGATGACTCACTAGACCCTGACAGTCATCGGGAATGGAACGGGATCGGGACCCATGGGGGCCACTGCTTTCCTCTCTGACCTCTCTGACGTACTCTGAGCATCCTAATTCTTCAGCTGCCCTTTCCAGAATGCCGGCTTCGAGACCTGCCTCGCCTGGCTGCAGAACTGGTCCGCCTGCGCTGCCCCGGATTTCCCCAAAGCGCGACCTCTGCGGTCCGTCTGCAGAGCCCCCGCTCATCTGCTTACTCATCTCAGGTGCAACCAGATCGGCTCACCTGCTCGCTGCGATCCCTGTCATGACGTTGCCCTAGGCTCCGCCGCCCTCCAGTCGAGGGGCGTGGGCCTGCACCCCCTTGCGCACCCTAAGCACTCCCGGTCACATCCTTGCTCCCTACGGGATCAGCTGCACTGCTGGGCCCAACCGGCCTACCATCCTGTCCACTGCACTCCCTAGGGGCACGCCTGTCTACGGCCTTGGGGCCCCCTGTGCTTTCCCCTGCATGCGGCCTGTTCAGTACCTGGGATCCTGGTGACCCTCTCCCAGCAGCGCCACCCAGGTTAGAGGGGCCTGCTGCCCCGGGGGAGGTATAGCCACTTGACTGACCATCCTGGTGCTCCAGCTGTCGACTTCGTCATCGCCCACCGGGTCCATCTGTGATCCCACCTGGGGTCCGATCACCACCAGTCGGCCCCATCACTGCTGCAGGCCCAAGACCCACACTGCCAATTGCAGCAGTCTACCTTCCAAGTGCCGTGCCCGTGGTCCGGGCGCTACACTGCTTCCCACCTGTTTTCCTCCAGGCCATCTGCCACGAATACCGGTCACCGGTCTAGCCTCTGCGGTACTCCCGCCAATTGCTCTGTGCTCTGCCATCCCCGTCCGCCGCCAAGCGTGCTGGAGGCCTCCTCTTCCTAGCCAGCCAGGCGGTCCCCCCAGCTTCTTGACTCGCGGCCTGTAAACTGAGCTGTTTGTGGTGTGGTGTTTTGTGTAAATAAGTTGGTTGCGGTTGTTTTGTGTGGCTAGGGGCAATAGTGTGTCTCTATTGGCTGTAGAGAATGAGAGAGTGTATAGGTGCTGTAGTGTGTGCATAGGGGGATGCAGAAAGTGTGTGCATAGTGGTTTTAATGTGTTTTTTTTTGTGAGTTTCTAGGGGCTGTAGAAAATGAGTGAGTGTATGTGTGTATTGGAATCTAATGTGTGCATAGGACATGAATTGTGTGTATATGGCATGTACTGTGTGTGCCAGGGATGTTGTCTGTTCATAGAGCTTGTGAGGGGTCCACTGTGTGTGAATTTGTTGGCGCTTATGTTATTTATGTGTGTGGGGGGGTGGGAGTGAGAGCAGAGAAGTTGAATAACTATAATATTTTACATATAATAATATAATATGTACTAATATCTGTTATTTTTTATGGGGTGCAGATTACAACCTCCCTGTTTCTCCCATATCTGGCTGATCTCCCCACTGGGCAGTAAATATACGACACATGACTGGTGCCCCCTCTATCTAGGTCATTTGCCTGGATTGTCCAGTCACAGTCTGCTCAGTGGGACAGTTAAGCCATCTGTCGATGCCCTTGAGGTTAAAGCATTATTGTCACGTATTCATCCGCACATAAAAATGTGATTATTACATTTACTGTTCTGACAGGAAATGTTGTGCCGAGCAGCAATCAAATCCACAGGAGGGTTTTGCTGAGCAGCAATTATGCAAATGGGAACCTGGTAACTGCCTTTGGGGTCAAAGGTCGATTACAGATTATCAGACCTAGAGGAGGGGTATTTAAGCCCAGTTCTCATCATGCTCAGTGCCCTGTCGTGGTTTCCCTTGTGGTTGTCCGAGAGCGTGTTATTGATTCTGGTTATTCTGGTTATTTGACTTTGGCATTATTTTTGACTTCCCTGTTTTCTGGTATCCCTGACCCCAGGCTTTTCCTTATCGTTGTGTCTCTTTCTGTATCCCTTGACCTCGGCTATTCCTGACTATTCTTTGGTACGTTAGTCCGGCCATTCTAAGGATCGTATACGTTACCTATTAGTCCTCTGTGATACACAATTCTACGTTCTGGATCATACTGTAATCCTGACAATTACATACACAATTGGTGTGGGATAGTCTTCTTTAGGTGTTATATATTCCATTTTAATTATTAAAACAAAGTCCAATATATATGCACTTATTTATGTTCATATTCTCTTTTTATATCCATTTAAGAATCTGTTGTTTTTTTAAATCTTTTTAAATGGTAAATGTTGTTTAGATCACTTTCTGTGCTAAAATGTTTTATATTTTTGAATTACTTTGCACTTTATGAATTTGCTCCATTGATACTTTTGTTGTATTTTTGCAATTTCTGGTAAATGAGTGTCAATCTGCATTAATAGGCAGCACTGGTATTTAGGCATTTGTATCAGTAGATATTATATTGTAAGCAAAAGCTCACATAGCTAGAACATTTTCTAATTCTCCTGTATCACATTTTTGGGAGGATAATTGGCCCACCCTTAGTTCTCATATTAATCGAAGTATGGCCTGTGGCATTTTAGCAGTGTTAAACATTTCAGTGTAAATTGTAAATTGCAGACAATCTAGACAAATGTGAACAAAAAGCAAGTGTGTGTGTGTTCCTTTGACTGTGTGACTGTGTCTATATGTCTGTGAAATTCACAGTAAACATTTTTAAGATGTCTTTCTTGATGCAACACAATAGTATGAAGCCTGGCCAGTGCAATTCAGTTGAAATAGATAGAAGACATGGAAAATGAACTTCACCTTGTATTGTTGTCTTATTGATCAGCTTTTATTAAATTGGAAACATAGCAAATGTTATTAGTATTTTTTCAAGATTAGATAGCAGTAGCCATTAATTATTATATTTTTTCTGTTGAACCCTAGAGGGTGTTACTGCAAGATGATTGCAATCAATAAAATATTACCTACTACGTCATGTAGAGAGCCAGAACCAATACCTATAGAATTTAAAGTGACAAATATGTTGCAGGTAACATTAAATATTCATTTGCATGTAATTTTATATATGTATCCATATATATATATATATATATATATTTATATTGTAACCGCTAGTACTCCTATTTACCTCTATAACGTCTTATAACTTAGAATTTAGCAGGGTTAACCATACAGATATCTTAGCTAAAATATTGTATAGTCGGTATAGAATTTCTCTATTTAAAATACATAAATAATTGAGAATACAATAAAAATAGGAGTTGGAAGCAATAACTTTTGTCTTATTAATATAGTTTATTGAATATAAATGAATACAGATATATAAACTTAATAATCCATTAATATATCAAAAAGCCGAGTATATAAAATTAAATGAATAAATGCTTTCAATATAAAGTATTAGTATAACATACCCTCCTGATTATACAGGTAATCTCTCAGTATGTCACCTCCAGAGTCGGTCAGTAATTCTCTACCTAGCATTGATCATGCATGTATATATATAGTATAGCATTTCTAATTACTACTGGTAATGTATGGGTTAATTCATCTTAGGGTTAAAAGCAGTTCATATATAAAAATAAAAGAAGAACACCCTTATCAGTCTAATGTCATAGCCAGACATCTTTAATCTGTATTTGGACTAGACGTTAGGTTGACATAGGCAAAGCCTTGAATTGTTAATGCATTAATCTAAGACAAGATGGAGTAAACATGGTGTGCACTGTAAATAGGTAAAAGGTTATTAGTTAAAGAAACAGTTGCAGTTTAAAGAAATATAATTTAGCAATGTGTATTATACCTACAATTGTTCATCACAATATATATATATATATATATATATATATATATATTATATTCACTTAATTTTTCTGTCAAATATTAGGGTTATATGACTAATTTTCAACAAGGTCAGTTTATCTATCTAAGGTTGATTAAATGAGTATCATTAAAGGGACACTGTAGGCAATATAACCATTTCATCTCATTGAATTGGTTAAAGTGCTTGGTGTCCTTTGACACTATCCCTCCATTTTGTTTTAAACCATTATTAAACAGTTTAACACTGAATGAGGGTTCCTGGCTTCTCTCAGTCGATCCCTACTGGAGGTATGGCTGAGGCAGAGATGGCACTTTTCTTTCTAGCCATATCTGAGTGAGCACTGGGATAGGATGAAAGAGGTCAGCTGACACTCTCAGCCAATCACAGCCGCCCTTTGCTACTAAGGCTAATGCTTCCTAATTAGCCTTAGAAGCACAGGATCTATATATATATATATATATATAAATATGTCTTAAATAAAATATAGATTATTCGGTCACTAAAGCTAGAATAGTCCCTAATTTTATGGCAAGATAGGAGGCTTCATATATGCTGTTTTAACTCATGGAAATTAAAGGAAAAGTCACGTGAAAAGAGGGTGAAATAAAAAGGTATGGAAAGTAGATTACCTAGACCAGAGATAGGCAACCTTCGGCACATCCAGATGTTGTGGACTACATGTTCCATGATGCTTTGCCAGTATTATAGCTGTAAAAGGATTATGGGAGATGTAGTCCAAAACACCTGGAGTTCCGAAGGTTGCCTATCCCTGCCCTAGCCCAATCTACTAATCAACAGATGATAAAATGTGAGAAAATGCACCGAAGGAAGCATCAACACCTGCAAGACCAATAATCCATCTGAAGAGGTCTAGGTAGAGAAGACCATGGAACAGATGAAGGTGATGGAAAATGTGTTGGTCCAAAGGTCACCTCTGGAGAGATCTGAGCAAGTCGCACCCCAACCTGAGAAGCTGGAGTCCCATTTTAAGATGAAATCTGGTTGGTAACCAAATCTAGCTCTCCTGTCCCATTCTTCCATATTGTGGACCCACCAATCCAACTCTAAGTGAACTTCCTCGGTCAGAGAAATGAGTTGATTGTAGGAGGCGGAAATCTTCAGATAATAACCTTTGAGGCCCTGCATCACTCTGTAGTGTACTGGGCCTGAGAATCGGAAACAAAGTCTTTCTGAAACCCTGTTACCATCTGAAGAATCTAAGGGTCTAGTGTGTGTTGAGCTGAGGGAAACAATGGGTTAGACGGCCTGCAAGAGGTACATGTAAATAAGAAAGGTCGATTACCTGCAGCAGTGCGACTGCGGAGTGAAGCAGACCTATGTCCTCTGATGGAGCCATTGCTAGGGAATAGTTGTATATGGTAAAATCAGGTGTGACCCAAGTTTCATGGTTTAGAGGGGCAAAGCCTGTAGTGAAGTTTCCATAAAACTGTTGGTAGGGAAACACCCTGCATAGTGACAATTATTATTATTATGAGAATTAAGAACAGAAATGTGTTTGTTTAAGTCTCTCATAAACTTTTCTTCAAATAAACGAACATTAGTTCAGGGCCAAATTCTCTAGAACTCAAGTCTGCTAGTTTAGCCTCAATCTTGTAAAAAATGGTTATATGTCATTCTGTAGAAATTACTACATTTGCATTGCTCAAGAGACAAAGGTCTCTGTGTGATCATGTGCGGGCCAAACATACTGTCTGTTAAAGCATCATCACCCAAAACAAAAATTTGGATTAGAGGGCCAGCGTTATAGAAGAATTTGTGTTATACTGCTTTTAAGCCCTGCTCAAGGCCCTTACGAGGTTCATGCCAATGATCCTTACCAATTTTGCTTTAAAAATTAACCAGAGAGTTAGAAGAAACTAATCACAGGTAAATTTACAGCGGTAGCAGGGACACTCCTGAAATGTCCAAAAGCAGGAAGAAACACAGGCAGGAATCTGCTTACAATGTCGAAACCACAGAGTAAAATGGGTGCCAGCGTCTCGCCAGAGTGTGGCATCAGAAACTGACATGAGTGGGAAGGAAGGCAAAAAGGGTGCAAAGTTGCATAGTGCAGCCTATGTAACCAATGAGGGGTTTAATTAATAACCACTAAAGAGAAAAATAGTAAACATAATAGAAATAAATTATAACAAGAAAAAAAGGGTATAATTAGTAAAGCCTGAGGGCAATATAATTGATTTAGACTCACCTGGGAGGCAAGCAGCAAAAGAAGAGGAAGTGTGAGGAGTCTCACAACCCTATGTTACTGATATATGCATTGCAATTGGTTGCTTCTGGTTTGCACTTTTAACTGTTTCTTTTCTGCTGGATGGTTTACAGTAAAGAAAGCAAATATGAAGCCTCCCGTCTTGCCATAAAAATCAAAGTAAATTCCACATGGACTTCAAATTTAGAACCAAAATAGTGAGGAGAATAGTAGAATCAATAAGCAAGTCATGCAGTCTCTCTATGATTCAATGGAGTTAAAGAGATTAAAAATATTTTTTAGATAAAAGCATAAGCAAAAATACATACATTGTCCAAGTGAACAAAATTGTATTAGTATTAAAAAAAAAAAATGAAAAGAAAAATAACATTGCAGTAAAATACAGTATCATAAAAAATAAATAAATAAATAAAAATGAAAGGAAGACAGAATAATAACTTTGGATTCTTCATCTCAAATTTTACATTTAACTTGCATTTATACGTAGAGAGACACTATAGGCAATCAGAACACTTCATCTAATTGAAGTGGTCTGGATGCATTGTCCCTGACACCCAGAAAAACTGCAATGTTTACACTGAGGGGCTAAGACTGCCTCTAGTGACTTTCTCCCAGACAGCCACTAGAGGACCTTTCAAATTTTTTTCATGGAGTTTAACTCAATGAAACAACATGGGATATCCTCAAACTTTGCATGAGAACATTAAGGTCCCCAATAGAAAAACATTGACTTAATGCTTTCCCATGGGGAAGGCCAACCCCTCGCCGCACATACACGTTAAATGGCAGAGACAAAGCCAGCAGTGAGGGGCATCTACGCTTGAAAGAGGTAAGTGTTAAAATAGTTTTTAACCATTTCAGCAAAGAGGAGGGTCCCCGGACAATCAACCATGTGCAGAGGGACACTATATTGTTATGAATACAGTTTTAATGCACACTACCCTGCTGTCATGTTTCAGATATTCCAGACCCTGACATATCTTAAACCTAGCTACAAATTATAATGAAATTATAGGCAGTATATTTATGTTGATGTAATTCAATGGACATTCATACTAAATAGTGATATTTATTTTTGCTATCATCAAGCAAAAAAAAAAAAGTCAAAATTTAATTATTTCAAATACAATTATGCAGATAAAAACATCACACATTACCGTTAATAGAGAATTTTCAGTCACTGCCGAATACTGTCTATATATATTGAAAAAAAAAAAAGCAGTGGCAGTGATTTGTGCATGACAGTTTAGTCCTTGCTACTTTTGCCAGCTGCAAGTATGCATTATCTCTTTCACAGAACAGAGCACTTTACAGTGGGTCACAATGTTGCAGCTCTTAACAAATAGATCTAATTGCAATCCTTTTATTTGAACTCTGATTGCAGGTTTTCACAGCACTATAAACAAATAGTAATCAACTAAACTTGTTACCTCTGAGTAGAAATGTCACGATATGAAATGTCAACTGTATAAAATACAGTAATTATGGCATGAAACTCTATTTGTTTCTTGTAAGTAAAAAATAAGACTAAATCAGTAATTCCCTAGGCTGGTGCTTACAAGTATGAAATGCCCTTGTCCTCCCTTCAATCTAATGAACAATTGCTGTTCTATATTTATGTGTGCCCAAGTAAGCTGAAAAAAAAATGTGCTTTTTCAGTTCCGTGATACCAATCAATACAAATTACCTTCACTAGAATTAACAAAAACACCCATTTAGCGGGACATATAGGAGATTGCAAAAATCAGCATTATTTTTGAATATGATACCAATAGTAGAAAAGGATTTTGTGAAATAAGATATAAAGAGTTTTCAACTAACTTTTACATAAACGTTGACTGAAAAAAGGTGACTTTTAAATGGATGTTGAAGGTATCTAGATGCCATGTATTGCTTGTTGAGAAACAACTTAAAATAATCTTTTGTCAAAGAGCAGCCAGTGGCAGTCAACACCAAGAGTATTTTTGGGCAATAGTAAGTATAGATAGTACAAGAAATGAAAAAAAAAATGTCTCTTAGCAAGATGCCCACTAAACAGAGGGAGGCTGAATGCCTTCTTCCCCATTGACTATATCAACAATAGCAGAGTGTTTATAGGTTCCACTGGACCTCTGTTAAATAGAGGGGATCAGTACATGGTAACCACATTCTCATGGGTCAATGGAGAATAAGCTATCTCTTTTGTAATCACATGGGTTTTCTGAGGGTGTGCATAAAATTATTATGATTGTCCACTAATGATTATGATTGTCCACAAATGCAATGTAGGCCTGTAATAAAAAGAGTGCCCACCCTAGATAAAGATATGAGAAAAGGGAGCGGTGGGAGGGGCAAATCGCCAGACTGAACGATTATGGGGAGCGGTCTGGCGTCCTTAAGAAGGGAGATCAAGCCTCTCCCATAACTACTGACCCAGCCTTCCATTTATGGTCGTGGCATCAAAAGCCGTAATGAGCATATTAGAAGTAGGTATGTAAGGTATGAAAAAGTTGGTTGTGGTGTGCTTGAACCGATGATGCGGTGAGCCTGTAATAAAAAGAGGGCAAAAAGAGTATATCATACAGAATTATATAGCCTACAAATCAAGCATATTACAATACATTACATATACATGTTATGGAAGTCTTGGCGTATTTAAGAACAGGTTGATGTATATATCTGGAGTAAGCCTCCATTGTCTCAAAGTCCCATTAAAATGTACCGAATATTCCTGGAGGTATGGTTGTCAGCACTGATGTGGAAGGAGTGACTTGCTTAATTACCTGAATTAAGACCTTATCTGACCATGCAGTTTTCTACAGTTTGTGAGTCAGGTATAAAACTGTTCCAGTCAGTAGCTACACCTGCTATTGAGGGTAGGTAAGGTGAATGACAGTATAGAAACCGATATGTCTTCGTAAAGGGCTTAATACCTTAAGCTAAAGGAGGCATACTGTGATGCTATGTCTAGATGAGAAGTTGAATTGTACTAGTAGTGAAAAATCACCCTGAATTAAAATAGCCGTTTCTATGTACAAGGAGGGAAGTGGTTCAACCTAAATATTATCCTAATAAGATATATCCCATCTATCTGTGTGGAATGCATGTAATCTGGATCCTAATTTACTTATGATGGAGACAGATTGTCAATATCCCAAACGTACAGAAACATGCACCGAAAACTGAGTTATGTAACGTATGCTCAAATGCATATGGAGGACCTTGCAAGGGTCAGCGTAAGGAGACAGCCCCTTGTAAAAGTCAGAGTTCTAATATATTTACAAGACTTAAAGGAGTACGGAGTGAGGTCTTGAATTGATATGAACGTGAATGAAATGTATGTTGAATACCTGAAACCCAAATTCATAGGTAACCTATTTTTAATCCTACTGTATCTAACCAGTTAACGACCTCTACCTGACTGGTATTTGCAATGATAGGCCTATACATGTTACTGATAACTAAACTACTGTGTGTGCCTAATATAGTTCATCACATGATATTCTAATAAAGTATTATTGTAACAGAAGGAACTTACCAATACCTAATAGTACCAGCCACATAACTTTAAACAGATGTAATTTACCGGCTGCACAGATTTACATCCAAGTGAAATAAATCTGCTCAATATAATTATACAACAGGGTGGTTTCCAATACTAGACACAGGTCTAATACTAAGCAGTTGCCTCCCTTCTAAAAGAATGTTTTGCGGTATATATACGTATATATATGTATGTATGTGATTTGATAATTTGGTGTATATAGCAGTTGGTGGTACCTTATGTGCCATTCAAAAGTTCTGCTGTGATGCGAGGTACAGTCCAATATCTAATAGAAGTATGACTAGCCATGTCACTTGTGTGACGTTGTAGCAGACCTAGAAGGAGTGCTGGGCAGGGACAGGACTCTCCACTTTCCTGTCATCGAGATATGTTAAACAGCATGAAGTAGTTGTGTA